AAAAAAAAAAAAAAAAGAAAGTAAAGGATGTGCTGCCTTAAACATTAGAGAACAGCACATGTGATTTTTAAAATACGTCTTGTAGATAACCCAGGTCATTTAAGCTCAACAGAGCAGCCTGTACCAGCAAGGGGTTACTCAAATGTCTCCCATAAAACCTTGAAACAAAATGCGACACTGAGTTATGCATGTAGTCACTGAAATGATTAAAACAATTCTGGGTGAGGGGTAAAAATTGTGGGACATAAATATGGAAAGAAATTTTACTGCCTTGAGGGGGTTCACTGACCATACCAGCCCCTTTCCCTGTAATCCGATTGCAGAAATAAACTCATTTCCCCCCCAGACTCTGCCTCTCATTTCTATTATGAGAGAAAACAGCTGGAGTCACTTGCTGGGAACAAAGCTGGCTCCCATTTGGGGTCAAATGAAACTGCGCAAGAGGCCTAGGTCCCAGCTAGCATGGTTTCCTCTCCAAGGTCAAGGCCCTTTGTCTGCTGGGCCCTCCACAGAAAAGGCAGGCGCCACTGCTGATGAGGATGCCCAGCCTCATAGGGGAGGCGGGATGGGGAGAAGAGGCTCTCTGATCCCACAACCTCCAAAAGATGCCACGTACCCAGGGCTCCATGGGTGGCACTGTCCTGCCTGCATGGGGCGACACAGGCCAAGCAGAGCTCCGACCAAGCAGTTAGGGCACACCTTTCTCCCTAGAACAACAGTCCCCAGCCTTTTTGGCATCAGGGACCAGTTTTGTGGAAGATAATTTTTCCATAGTCTGGGGTCGGGGGGTGCAGGGAGGAGATCATTGGGCATTAGATTCACTCAGCCTAGATCCCTCACATGCACAGTTCACAATAGTTTGCATTTCTGTGAGAATCTAATGCCTCTACTGGTCTGACAGGTACCAGTCTGCTGCCCGGGTGGTTAGGACTCCTTCTGTAAAAGACCACCCAGTAAGGTCTGTCCTGACTGCTAGCACCTGGCCACCTCGCACCCTGGTGGTCAGCCAGGCCCTGCCTCACTTCCGTAGCCTCCCCCCAAGGACTCTCTCCAGCTGGCCCACAGTTCTGACCCACTCCACCTCACCACCTTCTTGGTGGTTTCAGCTTGCAGGGTAATTGGGGGTGCCCCTCCTTGGTTCCCTTTGCTGCCCCTTCACCCCCAAATCCATAGGTTATGGGCAACAGAGGGCTTTCAGCTCCCTGCATAGCACCCCTAGCCAGCCACCCAGGCTAGGGCTCTAGTGGGGCATTAACCTCCTGAGCACATGAAGGATGCTGGCCCACTTACCTGACACTGCTGAATTAAAGATGGGCTTGATGGTCTGGACGCTTGAATTGGAGAGGCTGCCTACGGAGAGTGCACAGTGGTTGGCCCATGACAATAGCAGCTTCCCTGGCAGCTTTGCCCATGACTCTGCCAGTGCTCACCCCTGGCCTCCATGGGGCCCTGGCCCACCTCCAACCTAACAGAGCTGTGTCCTCCCTGTTCTACCCTACACTGTTGAGGCAGTCCCAGACCCAACAAACACCCAAGGGATCAGAAACCACTGGAAGGTTGGATTCTGAGGGGCCATCCAGAAAGCAGGGGACTTAGAATCAAAGTAGTCACAGGTCCTAAATGAGACCATGATCTCTCCTGGTGTCCCATCAGGGTCCCCAGGCACTGCAGGGCTGGAGCTATTAATTTGGGCCACACTTTCCTAGAACAGCTCACCGGAGCTGTTGTGCCCACTAGAAAAGGGTTCACCCGGTACCCCATTCTCTACATGTCTCCCAGGAGGGGACAGCTCTGGACACTGCCTAGACCAGGATGCTCACCATTCAGATGGTCCCCTCATTTGAGAGCTGGCCCCAAATGTAAGGGGGAGTCCAATAACTCAAACCAGGGTCCCTGGGCTGGCTGGTAGCCAGGCAAGGTAAATGGGTCACCACTGGATGAGAAAGTGCCTTGGACAAGTGGCTGAAGGTCCTGAGTCTCTGCTTCTTTACTCCGCAGTCCCCAAGTGTGGAGGCTAAAACAACTCCATCTTGTATGCTAATCTGCCACATTGGCTTCTGATTAACCCCAGTTCTGGAAAGGCCTCTAAGATTTCCAGTTTATCTATTGTTCCTTGTACAAGAGCAAGTTCTTACTGTAAATCCTGCACTTAGGTCAAAACAACCTTGATGTGATCATACTTCAGTTGTCCTACAGAATCACATATCATCCCCTATGGCATATGAGCCCTGGGGCTGCAGGGTAATGGCACAGGGATCCACCATCCTGTCTCACCGCCACCAGAGACACAGACATGGCGCAGGATTGGGGAGACTGGGCAGGCTGTAGAAGCAATCCAAGAGAAAGAACCCAGGAAGGGAGTGAGACCCCAGTGAGAACAGGGGCTGGGCCAGGGTTCCCACCCATTTCAGGAGCTCTGTTTAGATGAGGAAGAGTCTTCTGGGCAGCTCCACCCTCCACCCCCCATCCCCCGCTGCTCTGCCTAATTGGCTATAAAAAGTCACCTAGTCATGGCTAGGGGGCAATGGCATCTATCTGGGTCTCCCAGAACTTCTCCCCACTGGGTTAGCTTGTAGGGGCCAGTGCAGCCAGGTGGGCATGGGTGGTCTGGAGGAGCTGCTCTGGACAGCAGGAACTTCCCATCTGGCACCAAAGGGCCTCAGTCTCACCTTTCTTCTGTGGCTTCTGATTCATTATGAGCTTGTAATGGAGATCTGAAAGCAAGCACATGCTCTCCTAATCACTTTTGCAGCCACGCTCCTTGGAGAGAAGAGGCTTGGCCTGCCCTGGCCACTCCCTCCCTGGTGAACCCAAGTCCTGGTTCATAACCATGGCAGACTGCACCCTGCCTCATGGGTTCCACTTGCTTTCTCTACCAGGCCTTTGCCGTGGGCACCCTAGGCCAAGAATGCCTCTGGCTGTCTCCAGGCAGAACCCTGCCCATCACACTCAGCCTGTCATCCCCCATCTGAGATGTCTATGGGATGACCACTCTGCCAGGCTGGGCCTGAGCTCCAGAGGTACAGAGGTAAGTCAAGATGACCTGCCCCTCCAGGAGCCCCTGGTCATGGATGAGCAAATGAGGTCAGTGTCATGATCAAGTGGTGACTGGACCGAGCTGGCCAGGTGTGACTTGGGCATCAGGGAATAGGGTGAAACTCAACAAAGTGTAGAAAAGAGGGTCTTGACATAACAGATGACCAGTGATGAAATATTTGGCATTTCAGGTAAGGCAGCACCAGAAATGAGGAAGAGAGAAACTGAGGCAGCAGGCTTCTGTGTCTGCACAGAGTAGTTCTAGTTAAAAGGGGGAGAGGGGGATGGGAAGCAATCACATTGCTGAAGGCCTCAAGTTCTGCTCATGTAGGGTCTATGGGAGTGAGGAGCCGCTGAGAGGTGCAGTTAGGAAGCCCCAGCCTGAGAAAAAGGTGGGCCATGTGTGCTCCTGGCCTGGTAAGTTTAATTGAAGAAAATTCACTGAGCTGTGTGTACATCGCACTTTCTCAAATATGTTTTACTACTGTGAAAGTTTTTAAAAAACAAAACAAACTCTAGGCCTGACCCTGCCTAGAGAGGAGAGGGGTAGAGGGAGGGCAGGGGTGGTGGCGTGGGGGGGGTGCCTCTGAAATTCCCCACAGGACAAGGGGACAGGGAGGGCTCCGCCCACTAGTTGGATCCTGGGAGAAGAGCCGGGCAGCGTGGCAGGGCTCGGCGTGGGGCTTGCTGCCCTAAGCCCAGAGTGTGTACGAAGTCAATGAGCTGTGCGTTTCTGTGCTGCAGGCCGTGGGAGGGTTCAGGATACCAGGAGGGTACCCAGCCTCACCCTTGTTCTGTCGCTGCAGGTACTCGATCTCCTCGTGGAGTTTGCTCAGCATCTCCGAGTGCTGCTGCTGCAGGAACTGCAGGCTCTTTTCCAGGTCAAGGACCCGCTTCTTCGCGTCGCTCAGCCCGAGCTGCGGGCTGTGCGGCCCCAGGGATGAACGCTGGCGCGGGGGCGACGTGCCCCGGGAACCCGGGGTCGTCGAGCTGGGGGATCGTGCCCCCGCCGCCACCCCTGCCCCGCTCATGTAGCCGTGGCCACCTCCGCCGCAGCCGCACTCCCACTCGGTGACCTGGCTGCCCTGACCTGGCGTCGCGTTGCCGTGGAAACAGGAGTGACTGAGGGGGCGTGGCAGAGGACAAGGCGAGGCCTGGGAGCGCGAGGGGCGTAACAAAGGCCGAGGAGGGACCTGGGCGCGCGAGGGGCGTGACGGGAAGCCGGGGCCAGACCGGGGCGCACGAGGGACTAGGCGGGAGGCCGGGCGGTGCCCGGGAGCACGATGGGCGGAGTCTGAGGAAGCGAGGGCGTGGCGGATTCTGGGGCGGGGCCTGAGCGCGCGAAGGGCTGGGCGGAGGCTGGGACAGGGCCTGGGCTGCGCTCGGCCCGAGTGCGTCCTGACTCAGAAGGCGTCCTCTGACGTGAATGTCGGAGAACGGTCTGCCTTTGACCGTAGGTCTTAATGTTTAATTTTCTTTGCTTGTTGTGTTTTTGAAAGTTCAGTTTCTGAGTAGGTGATACGGTTACATTTCAAGAATCTCCACTTCCAGTAGTTGCAGAATCATCGTGCGTTATGAAATGTGGATAGAGCCGGGCTCGGTGGCTCAGCCTGTAATCCCGCGCCTTTGGGAGGCTGAGGTGAGTGGATGGCCTGAGCCCGCGGGTTCGAGACCCGCCTGGGCAGTCGAGACCTCGTCTCTACAATAAATCAAAAAAATTAGCTGGGCGTGGTAGCACACCTGTAGTTCCAGCTACTTGGAAGGCTGAGGCGGAAGGATGGCCGGAGCCCAGCAGGTCGAGGCTGCGGTGGCCGGGAGCGGCCACTGCACTCCAGTCTGGGCGACAGAGTGAGACTCCAACTCAAAAAAAAAAAAAAAGAAAGAAATGTGGATAAACATTTATTGTATTTATTTTATTTTATTTTTGAGTTGGAATGTCACTCTGTCGCCCAGGCTGGAGTGCAGTGGCCGCTCCCGGCCACCGCAGCCTCGACCTGCTGGGCTCAGGCGATCCTTCCGCCTCAGTCTTCCAAAGTGTTGGAATTACAGGCGTGCACCACCATGCCTGGCTAATTTTTAAATTTATTGTGAGACGAGGTCTTGCCATGTTGCCCAGGCTGGTCGTGACTCCCTGGACTCAGGCAATTCTCTCTCCTTCGCCTCCCAAAGTACTGGGATTACAGGCATTAGCCACCGCGCCCAGCTCCAAAAATTTTTTTTAATGTGTCTGAAGGTAGGAGAGAAACAAAAAGCAGGAGGAGAGGGAGCTAGTGAAAAAACTGCTGCTTGTTCTGCAGGACTGTCTCTTGTTCTCTGGGCCTTAAACAGGAAGCCACAGGCTTACTGACTCCAGAAGCAAGGAGTTTGGCTCAGCCACTGCAGCTGGGAATCGAACAGGAAATGCCAGAAAGTTTGGAGTCACAGCCGTTAAGGAGCCCAAAGCTATAAACTCTCCTCAAGTCGTTGGCTGGCCCTGAACTGCATGCACAAGTGTGGACAGGGTTCCCGGAGGCCAGGAGAAAGAGAAGTGGAAGGCAGGAAAAGCTGAGATATTCATTTGCTGATTTCTGGGGAAGACAGTGTTTGGTGTGTGAAAGTTAGAGAAGCTCCATCAATGCCTTCGTTTTCCATTTAAACCCCAGAAAGTTCACACACCTTGAGAGTAAAGACTGTGTTCTAGAAACAGAGATGTTCCCCAGGACTAAAGGCAAAATAAAATTATATCCACCCTAGTAAGACTTAAAGCTCAGCCTCCACAAGTTCTTGATGATTTTCCAGTAATTAAGCTACCTCGAGAACAAAACTCACCGTTCTTCAGAGAATGCTAGCAGAATCCAGAGTCCTCATGACATGTCATCCATCCATAATGTCCAATATACAATAATAGATACTAGACACGCAAACAGACAAGTTTGTTTGTTTGTTTTGAGTTGGAGACTCACTCTGTCACCCAGGCTGGAATGCAGTGGCACACTCACAGCCACTGCAGCCTCGACCTGCTGGGCTCAGGAGATTCTTCTGCCTCAGCCTTCCAAATAGATGGAACAACAACCTGGCTGCTCAGGTGTGTGCCACTATGCCCAGCTAAGTTTTTTTATTTATTGTAGAGACAAGGTCTTGCCAAGTTGCCCAGAGTGGTTTTGAACCTATGGGCTTGGGCAATCCTCTCGCCCCTGCATCCCAAAGTGCTAGTATTATAGGCGTGAACCACCAGCCTGGCTAAACAGACACTTATAAAACTTATTAAACTTATTTCCAGTCAGCTGAAACAAATCCACAAATAATTCTAGATCATGGAATTAAAAGAAACATACTTTTATAATAAATATGTTAAAAATATACAGAATAAGATTGCTATAGTGACTGAAACCATGGAGAATTTAAAAATAATTTTAAAATGGAAATTCTACAACTAAAAACATATTTGGACTTCTGGTTTCTTGGTCTGGCATACAAGGAGCTTGGAATCCATTATCCTATCTACACAGGAAAAAAAGCTGATCAAACAGAAAATCAACAGCTCTTCTAAGATCTGTGAGAAAATTGGATGGCCACAGGGCAAATTGCTGCCCCAAGAGTTGGAGAGACAGGTGGAGACAGAGAATTACCACTTTCCAGAGCAGACACTTGTAAGCAGAAGCTTCTGTGGGAAGAAGGCCAGAGACTAACCAACCTAGAGCAAGGAAATACCCAAGTTCAACCCACCATGGGCCTCCCTTCTCCCCACATCTTACTGCTACATCAGTAGGGCTCCTATTTAATAATGGGAAAACAGTGAAAGAACTTATCATCTCAGAATTGATTTAAGAAGAAATCCAATTAGCTGGGTGTGGTGGCACATGCCTGTAGTCCTAGCTACTCAGAAGGCTGAGGTGGGAGGTTCACTTGAGCCCAGGAGTTTGAGGCTGTGGTGAGCTGTGATCGTGCCATTGCACTCCAGTCTGGGTGACAGAGTGAGACCCTGACAACTAACAGGTTGCCCTAACCCTGACAGAGTGAGCAGCCAGTTGTTGTATGGAACCGTAAAAATCCCAGCACTTTGGGCGACTGAGGCAGGAGGATCGCTTGAGTTCAAGAGTTCTAGACCGGCCTTGGCAACATAGTAGGACCTCATCTCTAGGGATGGGGGATGGGGAAAAAGGGGGAAGGGGGAAGGAGGAGGAGGAGGAGAAGGAAGAGGAGGAGGAATAATTTCTAGGAAACCCTAGAGGGGAGACAAAAACTAAGACACCAGAAAAAATTGACCTGTAGTTACAACAAACAGTAAACTGGCCTAAAGCTTAGCCAGATCAACATAAAACTTTCTACAAAATGCTCATTTACCTCAGTTCCTTTTACCAAGTACATCATGTCTAGCTTTCAACAAAAAATTGCAAGGCATAGTAGAAACAACAACAAAAAAAAGGTTTGAAGAGACAGAGCAAGCATCAGAGCCAGGCTCAGATATGGCAGAGATGTTGGAATACTAAGATGATGTGATACAACTATGATTAATATATTAAGGGCACTAATGGAAAAAATCGACAATAGAAATAACAAATAGGCAATGAAAATAGAGAGATGGAAACTCTGAGAAAAAGAAAATGTAAGAACTGGCGGGGTGGTTGACTCATGTCTGTAATCTCAGCACTTTTGGAGGTTGAGGCGGGAGGATCACTTGCATCCAGGAGTTCAACAGCCTGGGCAACATAGTGAGACTTCGTCTCTACAAAAATTAAAAAATAAATTAGCTGGGCGTGGTGGCATGAGCCTCTAGTCCTAGCTACTTGGGAGGTTGGGATGGAAGAATCACCTGAGCCCAGGAGGTCGAGGCTGCGGTGAGCTGTGATCTTTGCCACTGCACTCCATTCAGCCTGGGCAACAGAGTCAGCCCTGACTCTAAATAAATTCATCTGTGAGAACTACAACAGCAGTGAAGAATGTCTGTGATGGGTTCATCAATAGATTGGACATGGACAAAGAATGAATCAATGAGCTTGAAAAAATGTCAATAGAAATTTCCAAAACTGAAATGGAAAGAGGAAAATGAATGAAAAAGAACAGAATATTCAGGAACTCAGACAATTATTTAAAAAATTAGCATATATGTAATGGTAATACTAGAAGGAGAATAAAGAGAAAAGAACAGAAGAAATACTTGAAGTAATAATGGCTGATTATTTTGCAAAATTAATAATAGATAAAGAACCGGGCTCAGTGGCTCAGCTGGTAATCCCAGAACTTTGGGAGGCCGAGGTGAGTGGATTGCTTGAGCCTGGGAGTTCGAGACCAGTCCAGGCAACTTGGCGAGACCTCATCTCTACAAAAAAATTAAAAATAGCCAGGCGTGGTTGTGCACGTTTGTAGTTCCCATTACTTGGAAGGCTGAGGCGGAAGAATCGTCAGAGCCCAGTAGGTCAATGCTGGGTGGCGGTGGCCGTGAGCGTGCGTGCCACTGCACTCCAGCCTGGGCGAAGGAGTGAGACTTCACCTCAAAAAAAAAAAAAAAAAAAAAAAAATAGATAAAGGATCACAGATCCAGGAAGCTCAGCAAGTGCCAAGCAGGATAAATATAGAAAAAAATCTACACATAGATATATCATATACAAATTGCAGAAAATTAAAGACAAAGAAATAATCTTGAAAGAAGTTAGAGGGGAAAAAATACCTATAGAGGAGAAAGAGAAAAATGACATTGAACTTCTCAGAAACTATGCAAGCAATAAGAGAGGAGATATTTAAAGTGTTGAGGCCAGTCACAGTGGCTCATGCCTATAACCCCAACAATTTGGGAGGCCAAGGTTGGGAGGAGTGCTTTATCCTCTGAGTTTGAGACCAGCCTGGGCAACACAGCAAGACCTTGTCTCTACAAAAAAATAAAAATAAAAATTTAGCCAAGCATGGTGGTGTGTGCCTGTAGTACCAGTTATTTGGGAGGTTGAGGTAGAAGGATCACCTGATCGTGCCACTGCCCTCTAGCATGGCCACAAAGTGAGATTCTGACTCTAAAATAAAATAAGTATTGAAAGAGTGCCAGGCACAATGGCTCATG